GAAAAAAAACAAGGAATACAGTACATACGGTATGTTTGGGCGAAAGCCGACACCATCTTATCACTCCCTCACTGCTACTCAAATGCTGTACAGTTGAAGAAATATTATCAGAAAAACCCAATACTTACCAACATAAATTTGCAGCTTGTCAACGTCTGCTTCCTTAGGAAATCTTTCATAATTCCTGTAGGATATATTAGATTTCTTGATTTTCTTCACATCCTTTTGGTCCGTTTGGTCAGCCAATCGTTCACGTGCCGATTCATTCAGCCGTTTCCCCAATTCTTTCTGGTGCTCTTTACGCTTGTCTTCATTTGTTGTTTTATTCTATAAAAAATGTTGCATGCCTGCGAAGTGTAGTGAACGTTTGTAACTTTGATCCTAACTGAAGAATGAGGTAAGGGACTCAATGGTTTGTTGACAGCAAGAATTTTCAATAAAAAATTTCTTTAAAAAAAAAAAAATAAAAAATAAAATAAAAGAACACTTTTGCCTTTACCCTCGTCTGTTCCTGCAATAATACAGATCTTCTGCCTCGTCCAAGTGTGTCCGCCAGGTTATTTTCCTGAAAAATAAAATGCGTTAGAAGATTTCAGTCACTCCGTCCACGTTTCCTCAATATGCCTTCAAATAATTTTACAAATTACAACCTTGTTGTCGTCACCTTCTGACGTTTCCGGAACTGATTTGAATCGAATAGTGTTTGACTTCAAGCGCGACTTCGCCTTTTCTGTGAGAATTTCGTTTGCACCTTCCTGCAATACAAATACGCAATTATAATTATAGTTGTGAATCTTCTCCATCTTGTCCAACCAATATTCTTTTTAGTTTAAATCGAAGACTTTACTAATAGCGAACAACCGCTGCCAAAACTACTGATGATCCCTTCTTTCAAGGATGGTTCAAGAGCAAGTTCAAAAGAAGCAGACTTTCTGGAACGTTAAGAACGCAGGGGACGAACTGAATCCACCAACTATAGACGAAAAATCCTACTGACGGGCTCGAAACAAGGGTTCGATCTGACAACACGTGCTACTTATATTCATTAGGGGTTTCGAGCTTTTATTTTCTTCAATTACTCGCACTGATTACACCTTCTAATTCAACCCCCTAATTCATTGAGCGAAGCGAAGGAACTCGTCTGTGCGGGACTAGTATTTGTTGACATCGCGCAACCATCGCAACAAAACCTCCCTACGGTCTTGCTGAACAGCAATGCTTGAAAGCATGATCAGGGCAAAATCGGCACTTTTTGCCCAACATCCCCGGTTATGCTGACTGTTGAAAGCTGTCAGTAAATCAGTTTTCGATTATTTTTTTGTCATTCACTAAAAACGCTTCCAATTTGACTGACGAAATTAATCCATTATAACTGATGCAAAATGATCTGAAACAAACCGCAGAAATCAAAACGGTATCGGACAGCAGCACAGCCGACGTTTTCGACTGCTCATCTTTTGCTTCTGGATTTACCAGGCCATGCAAACCGACACAAACAATGAAAACCATATTTGGCCGAATTTCGATCTCACATTTTGGACTGATCAGTGCCGCCGACTCTCGAAATTCCAAGCCAGTCAAAAACCTGCAGGACAAATAATACATACGGGACTGGAACGCTTTTTAAAAGAAATCAACCATTTAGGGATATACTAACGTCCCACCAATTTCCGTCACTCAACATTTTTTTTCTAACAAAAAAATTTTTTAATTTTACCGCAACATTATGAGTTCTTTTCTTTAATTCCACGCAACAAAAAACTTAGCGCGTGCGCAACGGTTTTTACAAATATCACAGTCGTCTTAGAGCCCAAAAACAACATGATTGAGGGAAATGCATTGGGATGCAAATGCCTTTGCAATCTGAAACTTCCGCAGAACTTAACAAAAAAGGAGTCCGAAAACAGGCCTTTACTGCTTCTTCCAGGCTCCGCAAGAATTTACACTTCCAAAATGCATTTAACTTAAATAATGTTGGTGGCAAATACTACTACTTGTATCGCTTGCGAGTGCCTCTGTTTTTCACAGAAGG